TGAGATATACAGCGTGCCCCGACTTATGTACAATCAGTTTGTCGGCGCTAAACTTGTGTGAGATAATCAACGTACTGATGTGAACAGGCCCCAATACAGGGACCCTCATTCGGTACCTGTAGGACAGTCACGGGAGACGGGCAAGAGAATCGTAAGTTGGCGCTTCGTTGCGTGCGGCAATGGGCGCGACGTTTCCTTGATTTGCACTACTCTTCCGATGGGAGCATCGAATTTCACGTAGACAAGGACATGGTAGACTTATGCCTATTTTTGGTCGTACATTGTCCATTCTCGATCAATACCACCCAAAATCGTCTTCATTAGCGGTCGCGACGTCGCACGCGACGCCCACTAGCACTGCGAATTACGATTCTCTTGCCACATATCCCGACAGTCACTTCGTAAAAGTGAAAGAGACTCCTGTTCATTCGATCCCCACGTAACGTATGACCCGTAATTCGTTCTCTCCCGCTCTTTAAACAATCCGAATCCCAGTGGTCCAGAGAAAAGCGAGGGCTCCTGCAGTGTTGAAGCGGCGTTTTTATTTACATAGCTGTAGGAGAGGCGGCTAGGTGGCTGACTGGACAACGGGCATGCAAACGAAAGATAATGAGTCACACACTAAAGTACGCGGATGGTGACGTTCGAAATATTTAGCCACACCTACGAAAATCGATTGAAGGGATTAAGATCAAAAGGGATTTCCAGAGAAGAGTTAGGAAAGCCTAATTCTTCTGGACCTGGGCAAAGATATGTGACTTCTTGCCTCAGTCTCTGACAAAGCAAGAAAATCTGTACTCCGTCTCAATGAACTTGTTATATCGTAGTATCATCACCACTAGCTGAAATAATGAATAGAAATAAATATCCGAAATAAGCTAAGATTAAAAGGAACTCGTTTCTGGTCAAATGGTGAGACCACTTCAAGAACGTAGAACTCGTCGTGATAAAATGAGCAGAAAAAAAACGAACGCTTTTTGAATTCGTCGGTGTCAGCGGCGGAAGTGGTGTAGTGACAAGTGGCGCGCTTACCACTCGCGCGATGCCGGTTCAAATCCCGGGTCGACTCCCGCCCAGGCCAACCAAGCCTTCTACCCTCCGGGGACGGTAATTGGTACCAGATTCGTCTGGGAGGATAAAACACTGACTTGTACATCGGCTGGCCACCGCAAGTCATTGTATAGGCCACATCGCATTCAATAAGCCACTACGATTCTGAATGGAAGTAGAATGCGTGCCGCATCCCACAAAGGGATTGATTAACGGCGAAGACTTTATCCTTTATCCTTTTAGGTTTCAGCACTTCAGTCACCATTAAACACTTTACTGCTGAGAACCGACATTTTGCAATGGCAACGAACCACCATTTTCTGTGCTGTGTTGCGTGCGTGGCCAAGTTGCGGTGATACATTCCTTATCCCCTGTGAAGTAGGAGGCGTGGCATTTAAACAGAATTGAATGGGTAGCTCGTGGCATATGTCATCTTGTCCAGTGTTGGTGGCCACGATTGTGACCAAATGAAAAGATTTCACCGGAAGCACCACCACCCACGTTTAGTTAAAGTGTGCAGCCACGCCTACCACATCTCTGGGATTTCGAGTGTACAACGGAACATGCCATAGAGGTATGAAGCGAACCCCGTCTTCCCAGGAATCGGTTGGGAGCCCGTAAGTTTCAATGAATTCATTTGGTCTGCTCCTCATCACCTACATCGTGTTGAATGACGTTTTCGTGACTGGTTGAAGTGATTTGATTTGGTTCAATTGATTCGTTAATTCCATACAAGGAATAAGAATTAGGAATGCGAGTAAAGAAATTAATAGAAATTAAAGCTGAAATGATTAACCCTGCAGCAGTCGTAGAGGCCGAAAGACGGCGGTGTCAGTGAGCGATTGATCGGTGAGTCGATTACCAGCCAAAGACAGCTTGATAATCAAATCCTTGCTTTCATAGCCGGCAAACGCATTCGACGACAACGTATTGATACGATTTCGATTCAGATAGAGTTTGCGAAGATTCCGTAGGCGCGTGAGACCCATCTGAGGGATCTGGCCAAGGTTGTTGTCGTTCAGGTCGAGCTCAACCAATGAGTCCAACAATGGACCGTTGAAAGCTTGATCATCGATGAACTGAAGGGTGTTGCGATTCAGTACCAACCGTAGAATGGTGAAGCTCTGAAAATCATAGCAGGCATGTGGTGTATGTATTCCAGTGCAATATTAAGGTTAGAACCAAATTTTGAGACTGAGTTGAGATTTGTTCTTAACTACCGCCTCAAAGGCATACTCCGCGAGGCATTATGTGGGCTAGGGAGTACAGACATGTCTTCGTCGACGACTTACAAGGACCTACCAGTGGAAAAAAATACGCTGACAAAGCCGATTTTCTCTTCATGAGGACCCAGTATTAGGCGAGTATTCGAAAAAACAAAACACTGCCGCGGGGATAGGGACCAGAGACAAGTACGCCACAGAATAGGGAAACAAGCAGGCAGGAGAGCGAGACATAAAAGGCTGGTCCTGCACAGGATGTATAATGTGCTTATAGATTGGTACTAGTGGCATATCTGGTTTCCAGATGTGCGAGAAAGCTTCTAGAGAGTGGCGTTTGCTTGGGCTATGACGACTGCAGCGCTCCAGATTACTCACTGATAAGCAGTGAAAGGGAGATGAATGAGAGTGAGTGAGAGAAAGAAATAAAAAATCTCTCAAAGGAGAAACTTCGCAAAGAGATAAAATTATTGGCGGTTCGTTTGACTCTTACCTAGACGAATCGCTTTCTTGTCATCCCCTGAGACTCTCTGAATGCTCAGATTGCGGGTCGGATTAATTTATACAAAAAGAGACTCTACTGTTTGGTAGTTGGGGAATCTCTCCCCCAGTAGTTATCATAAGTTACCGTGAAAGTTAGCTACTACGGTAACATTCTAGCGATAAGCTATTAGGTTGGCTAATAAGTAATGGCCGTTTTTTTCAATTGAAAAATTTGTTCGAAAAGTGAAACGTTTTGCAAGCAAGTTATATATCATCTGATAGGAAACTTCTCGTAGTATAAGAATATCAAAAAGCTTTGGTTGAGGATATAGTTTTTGTGAATTTTTTAGTCGTTGAAGTTGGAAGTGAAGTCGGCGAAAATTAGCATCTTCGACAACTGCCTCTATTTAGAAATTTCATGCTAATAGTTGAATTAATTGAATTTGAATTTGATATATTCTAATACTAGCGAGAAGTTTGCTATTAAACGATGTTAAGCTTGCTTGCAAAACTTTTCACTTTTGAAACAAATTTTTCAATTGAAAAAAACGGCCATTACTTATTAGCCAGGGGTAGAACCTAACGTAATCTCTATTCTCGCAAATCTGCTTTTTCTTTGCATTTTGCCTTTCAAGGACACCCCAAGTGATTCAGGTGATCAGAAGTATAACACCAGTCGTACTATTACAATGACGGACCGCATATTAGAACCTACACGCAGTCGGTGCGAAACCCGAATCATTATTGATAGATGTATTCTCACAGGAAGCCTATAACGAGTCCGAATTAGGAAAAAGATTTATACCCTAGATAAGGCCATAATTTTAAAAAAGATTTCGGAATCCGGTTGGAGCTCTTGTTAAGTGAACTAGGATTTTCTCCAACGAAGGCAAAGTTACAGCTTGTCGAGAAAGAGACGAATCTGAGGGCCCACAGAAATCCTTGTCGTAGACAAAAAGTGGTGACTTCTACTCAGCATATAAAAGTGCAATGAGTGAAGAAGTGCACCTTGGGTGGTATCATCGAAAACTGGAAGCTCAACCTGTACCGAGACTAGACCTCACATGAGTCGCACAGGACTTTCTCTTAAGACGCCTACAACAAGCATCTCTTCAATAAGCCACTACGATTCTGAATGGAAGTAGAATGCGTGCCGCATCACACAAAGGAACTGATCAACGGCGAGGACTTCATCCCTCATCCTTTTAAGTTTCAGCGCTTCAGTCACCATTAAACACTTTACTGCTGAGAACCGACATTTTGCAATGGCAACGAACCATGAAAACGCATTTTCTGTGCTGTGTTGCGTGCGTGGCCAAGTTGCGGTGATACATTCCTTATCCCCTGTGAAGTAGGAGGCGTGGCATTTAAACAGAATTGAATGGGTAGCTCGTGGCATATGTCATCTTGTCCAGTGTTGGTGGTCACGATTGTGACCAAATGAAAAGATTTCACCGGAAGCACCACCACCGCCACGTTTAGTTAAAGTGCGCAGCCACGCCTACCACATCTCTGGGATTTCGAGTGTACAACGGAACATGCCATAGAGGTATGAAGCGAACCCCGTCTTCCCAGGAATCGGTTGGGAGCCCGTAAGTTTCAATGAATTCATTTGGTCTGCTCCTCATCACCTGCATCGTGTTGAATGACGTTTTCGTGACTGGTTGAAGTGATTTGATTTGGTTCAATTGATTCGTTAATTCCATACAAGGAATAAGAATTAGGAATGCGAGTAAAGAAATTAATAGAAATTAAAGCTGAAATGATTAACCTGCAGCAGTCGTAGAGGCCGAAAGACGGCGGTGTCAGTGAGCGATTGATCGGTGAGTCGATTACCAGCCAAAGACAGCTTGATAATCAAATCCTTGCTTTCATAGCCGGCAAACGCATTCGACGACAACGTATTGATACGATTTCGATTCAGATAGAGTTTGCGAAGATTCCGTAGGCGCGTGAGACCCATCTGAGGGATCTGGCCAAGGTTGTTGTCGTTCAGGTCGAGCTCAACCAATGAGTCCAACAATGGACCGTTGAAAGCTTGATCATCGATGAACTGAAGGGTGTTGCGATTCAGTACCAACCGTAGAATGGTGAAGCTCTGAAAATCATAGCAGGCATGTGGTGTATATATTCCAGTGCAATATTAAGGTTAGAACCAAATTTTGGGACTGAGTTGAGATTTGTTCTTAACTACCGCCTCAAAGGCATACTCCGCGAGGCATTATGTGGGCTAGGGAGTACAGACATGTCTTCGTCGACTTACAAGGACCTACCAGTGGAAAAAAATACGCTGACAAAGCCGATTTTCTCTTCATGAGGACCCAGTATTAGGCGAGTATTCGAAAAAACAAAACACTGCCGCGGGGATAGGGACCAGAGACAAGTACGCCACAGAATAGGGAAACAAGCAGGCAGGAGAGCGAGACATAAAAGGCTGGTCCTGCACAGGATGTATAATGTGCTTATAGATTGGTACTAGTGGCATATCTGGTTTCCAGATGTGCGAGAAAGCTTCTAGAGAGTGGCGTTTGCTTGGGCTATGACGACTGCAGCGCTCCAGATTACTCACTGATAAGCAGTGGGAGATGAATGAGAGTGAGTGAGAGAAAGAAATAAAAAATCTCTCAAAGGAGAAACTTCGCAAAGAGATAAAATTATTGGCGGTTCGTTTGACTCTTACCTAGACGAATCGCTTTCTTGTCATCCCTGAGACTCTCTGAATGCTCAGATTGCGGGTCGGAATAATTTTACAAAAAGAGACTCTACTGTTTGGTAGTTGGGAATCTCTCCCCCAGTAGTTATCATAAGTTACCGTGAAAGTTAGCTACGGTAACATTCTAGCGAAAACATTAGAACCTACGTATTTATTCTCCAATTCATGCTTTTCTTTTGCATTTGCTTCAAGGACACCCCCAGTGATTCAGGTGACAGAAGTATGAACCCAGTAGATTGTACCTGCGGAGCATACTTTGAGAAACCTAAGGCAGTCGACCGAAACCCGAACTTATTGAATGGATGATTCTAACAGGAAGCCTATAACTAGCCGAATTTAGGAAAAAATACTCTATACCCTGGATAAGCCACAATTATAGAAAGAATTTCGGAATCCGTCTGGAGCACTTGTTAAGTAACAGGATTTCTCCAAGGAAAACAATCTTCGGGTGTTCGCCAGCTGTGCGAGCTTCCCAGCTTCAACAGCTGATGGTTCCCCGAGAATCATCATGAATTGTTGAGCCACGTGCTTCACAGAAATCAGATGAAATTGATCGAAGCTGTCCGCAAAGCCACACAAGGGCTTACGAAACACCACTGGTCCACGACAGGTTAAGTTGTAATAATTAATATCTCTTCAGATTAGAAATTGGATCGGGAGAGGTATCGCCATCATATCGGAGAGGCGGCTCCACGCTCGGTGGAGTGGGGATGAGGGCCAAGGAATAATGATGCATTGCCAGCGATGTGCTGAAAAAGGAAGAAGGGCGATAGATTATCAAAAACAGAAAATGTGTCCGGAGACAGTGAGAAGAGGCAGAAACAGAGGAACCTCAATGTTCGATGTTTATTTGAACAGCAGAGAATTGGAATGAATCACCTGGAAAGCGTTCGCGGGGATACTGGAAATAGCGGTGTCGATAATCATGAGGGAATCGATCTGGAACAGAGAGAGTCACTAAAAACATAAAATTCAGAAATGTAGCAAATTGTCACTGACGGAAGTGTTCCTGGCTGGCTGAATTGCCTGTAGAGCATTGCTGAGACTGCCGGCATTTTCGCAGATAATTGCCACCGGTTCGTAAATGGATGGAGCACATCGACATGGTCCGCTCACTGGTGGACATTGAGCGTTGACGTTGACTGTAAGTGACACGAGAGCGGCAAGTACGGCGCCGAGCACCGTGCGCAGCTCTAGCATGGTGCACGAGTGCAGCGCGCTTTGGGGCGGCGCCACCACAGCGTTGAAGAATTACCAGCGGCGGTGGCGCCACCCTGCGCCTCAGCAGAACCAGCCCGTCGTTCCGGAAGAACACGCGGATTAGATACCGAAAAGCGTCGTATTAGCTCAGGACGTGTTCTGGTGACGCTTCCGCTCGGGCGGTAGTGAGGAAAATGGTTTCGGAATGACAACACTTTCAACATTCAGTGGAAACGCGTTCTCTAGCAACGCTCTTCATGTAGCTATCACCAGAATATTTTTGCCTGGAAAGGTACAGCACAGGGTCCAATCTTTCCGTGGGAACTGGACCTGTTGCTGAAATTGTAAGCTTTTTTGAGTTTAGTAAAAGCAAATAAAGACGACAAGCAAGGAGTTGTTCTGAAACTCAATAGAGAATATTCCAGAGTGAAAACCAATTAGAGTATCCGTCTGCGGTCTGTCCGTCTTTGAACAGGTAGAAGATTAAACGTCTTCTCCAACTGAAAATGGTCTTCACGCAGTCCTGATCTTTCAAAATTGAGCTTTTTTCATCGAATCGTGTCCTTGGCAGTAGAATTTGAATAGAAATCTGTCAACAGCGGTACTACTGGGTGTGAGCAGTGAAGGGGTTGGGTTTTAAGCCACCTATACCTGAATACCTAAGCGCTGGCAGGAAGCCATACAAGCACGTGCGCCCACGTCATCCAAGCAGCCGATTCAGTAGCATCGAGAGTGGGAACTATTAGGCTGTTCGACAAGTCCTGCGACACTTTGATTGAATTGTTCTAGAAAAAGACCAAAAATCATTTTGGATGTTTTGATTATGGAGACTGTCCTCTGGGGTTTCTGCACATGGGTATATCATGACTTTGTGGAAGTTTTCAAAGCTTAAAAGTCCCTCAGAGATCGAGGTACTTTTCGACCTATCCCATATTATGAGTTCCTGTAGGGCCACTCCGCCGTAGTCGAGGAAGCTAACACTTACGTTGTCTTGAGGAAGGATATCGCTTGCCATGGCAGAGGGTAGCTTTTGCATCAGCGCTTCCAGGCTGGACTTATTTAACTCGTAGTTAGGCAATGTATAGGTCGCCCACCAGCACAGAATGACGGCCCTTTACTCAAGCTTCTTGAGGCGCAGCCGAAGGTAACCACCAGTAAGTTGGCAACCTCTCTAGGCTCCACCTGACTGACAACTGCCATGCTTCTCCGCAATCTCGGTTATCGGAAAAATTTTTGTGAAGGATGCCTCATGAGTTGGACCCGTCTGACAAGTCATACCGAATGACCGTGACTGAGTTTTCTTTTCCTTGTACACAGCGAAAGAACTTTTGTGAGATCTTGTGGTTGGTAGCGAGTGTTGGAGTCCTTGCATCATGCACATGTCCCTCGCAGGATCTCTCAAACAGAAAAGTAGATTGCTTAGCCAAAAACAGATGTCATGATCAAATTAAGAAGCCATGTCTAGAATAGGATATTGGATTTTCCAGAATATTGGATTTTCCGTGAAAGCCGAGACCAAAGGAGCGCCAGGCTTACAGCCTCTCAATCTCAGAAAAGACCAACGAATGCATCAACAATGATTCGAGTCACCAACTACACGCTATCTTGCATTTTTATAGCCGCATGTAAATCTGATGCTAACTTGCTCCAGCGGTAAGTGTTTCAGAGGTGTGTTCCACGATTGATAGTGCGCTAAAACCCTTCTCACGTAAGCTGGTCCAAGAACCAACTGCAGATGTTGTGCCATTTTCGCATTTCCACGAAAAGCTTGGCAAAGGTGTTGTGTCACAAGAGATTTGATGCTGGCAGACCTTGTGCAGCTGTAAGCTTTGAAGTTTTATACTATGATAACTGCTTTTTACGCCACAATTCGCGCTTCGAAAGTTGCCACAAGTACAGTCCTCATCATTGGAGACCGGTGTGGCGGGTGAGGCGCGCTGCGTATGACTCGGCTGTGACGCGGCAGC